ACCTGAGCCAAAGTCTGATGCTTAACCGACTGAGCCACCCAGTCGTCCCTAAGAATTTCCATACTGTTCTCTAGAGTAACTGCCCCAGTTGCATTCCCGCTAACAATGCAAGAGGGTTCCTCTTTCTCCACATCCTTACCAACACCTGTTGTTTCTTGTGTTGTTAATATTAGCCATTGTGACAGGTGTGAGGTGGTATCTCATTGTGGTTTTGATTTGTATTTCCCTGATGATGAGCTATTGAGCATTGTTTCATGTTTCTGTTAGCTATCTGGATGTCTTCTTTGGAAAAGTGGCTATTCATGTCTTTTGCCCATTTCTTCACTGGATTATTTGTGGGTTTTTTTGGGTGTTGAGTTGATCTAGATTGTGGATACTAACCCTTTATCAGATACGTCATTTGTAAATATCTTCTCCCCTTCCGTGGGCTGCCTTTTAGTTTTGTTGATTGTTTCCTTTGCTGTGCAGAAGCCTTTTATCTTGATGAAGTCCCTATAGTTCATATTGACTTTTATATCCCCTGCCTCTGGCAATGGCAACATGTCCAGTAAGAAGTCGCTCCAGCAGAGGTCAAAGAGGTTGCTGCCTGTGCTAAGATTTTTATGGTTTCCTGGCTCACATTTAGGTCTTCCATCCATTTTGAATCTATTTTTGTGTATGGCTTAGCTAGAAGTTAAGCACTCCCTGCTGATTTTTAATTTGGGGTGATTTGTATTAAAGTTGTACACAAAGTGAAACTTATTCTTTTGTGTCTCACTACAAAATTGCAGAAGTCTGATTGGCATAAAATGTGATCACACTGTAACTTTCGTATCAGTTAAGGATTGAGTTTGGTTGCTTTTAACAAAAATCCAAATAGTAATGATTTAAACAAAATAGTGACTCAGTTTATATAGCTAGTATTGGTTCAGTCTCTTGAAGATGTCAGAACATAGGATTCTTAAGAGTTTCTTGAATTTTCCTTGTTGGTGGCATCATGCTCTAGCACAGATGTCGTATCTATTATCTACAAAACAGGATATAGGAAGTACCAGTACCTAAAATCAGGGATAGCAACACTCTTCCACAAATCCTTGTTTTTGTTTCATTGTCACAATTGTCACGTGGCCACTGTAGCTATAAGGAAGACTTCGTCCAACAAAATCAGTAACTTTTTCCAAGAAAGGGAAAATGGATCTTGAGTAGGCAGCAAGTCTCTGCCACAACCTTTTTTTTTGGTTGGTCTCACCCTAGTCGTTTCATTAGGAGGGTTGTCTGTCAGCAGTCTGTTCACCCATTAGCCTTACTAAGCCATTTCTCACTTTAAAATATTGTTTGAAATACTAGCTCCTCTATGACAAGTAAATATGTGCCTCCCTCTTGAAAAAAGCCTGTCCATATATTTTCTGCATGCTAGTGTATAATTTAGGTTTACATACAAAGAGCAAGGAGCAGGGCAGGAGGACAACCCATATCTGATCTCCAGTCCCTGTGCTTATGTGCTTTTACAGGTTTTCTTCTTCTTTTTTTTTTTTTTTAATTTCTTTTTTTAACATTTATTTATTTTTGAGACAGCATGAACGGGAGAGGGGCAGAGAGAGAGGGAGACAGAATCGGAAGCAGGCTCCAGGCCTCATCAGCCCAGAGCTCGATGTAGCCTCTGGACCCACAGATCGTGACCTGAGCTGAAGTCGGACGCCAACCGACTCAGCCAAGCGCCACCCAGGCGCCTTTTTTTTTTTTAAATGTTATATTTTGGAGGCTTCCAGGTGAATGTAGTGACTTCAGCCCGAGAACACGATCTCGCTGATCCGGTGAGTTGAGCCCGCGTCAGGCTGTTTAAGGCTGATTGAGCCTGGAGCTCAACTCATTCTGTGTCTCCCTCTCTCTTTCTGCCCCTCCCCGTTCATACAGCCCTCTCTGTCCCAAAAATAAATAAAAAACGTTGAAAAAAAAATTAAAAAAAAAAGTTATATTTTTTTTCAACGTTTTATTTTTATTTTTGGGACAGAGAGAGACACAGCATGAACGGGAGGGCAGAGAGGAGACAGAATCGAAAACAGGCTCCAGGCTCGGCCATCAGCCCAGAGCTCGACGCGCCTCGAACTCACGGATCACAGATCGACCTGCTGAAGACGCTTAATCCCATCAAGCCACCCAGGCTTCAAAAGTTATATTTTTAATGTTTATTCATTTTTGAAAGACAGAGACCGAGCACAGTGGGGGTAGGGCAGAGAGAGAGGGGGACACAGAATCTGAAACAGGCTCCAGGCTCTGAGCCGTCAGCACAGAGCCTGATGGGGCTCAACTCACCAGATCATGACCTGAGCTGAAGTCGGATGCTTTAACTGACTGAACCACCCCCTAGGTGCCCTTCTTTTTTTTTTTTTTTTTTTTAATGTTTAGTTATCTTTGAGAGAGAAAGAGCACGAGCAAGGGAGGGGTAGAGAATCCAAAGCAGGCTCTGCGCTGACAGCAGCTAGTCCGATGTGGGGCTCGAACTCACCAATTGTGAGTTTATGACCTGAACCAAAGTTGGATGTTCAACAACTGAGCTACCCAGGCACCCTACGTGTTTTCTTATTTAGTCCTCCCATCAACACTGTGAGTGTATTGCAGATGAAGAAATTGAGCTTTGAAATGTTCAATAATTTTCCAAAGTTGATACAGTTCTAAAGTGGGCCATGCAATCACTGGAATGTATTTTTGCTTCTAATCATAAAAAACAAAAGCATAGTAATGTGAGGCTGCTGGAACGCAAACTCACTTGTTTAGTTCCAAACTCTCTGCTTTTTCATCATACCATGCAGCTTCCTAAAGTCTTCATCACATAATTATATGCAGTCTAAGTGTTTTTTCTACCATTTGTTCTAGATATATGTCCTTGTAAATAAGGTTCGCTAAAAATGGAAGCTCTAAGGATAGAAGCAAAAACTATATAGCTCTTTTACTAGTAAAGACAGTGACAGAGGTGATTACTAAAATACTTTAATGATACAAAAGAGTGGCTTCCAGTATTTTGTTTGATACGTTTTTAACAATCTGACAGTCTTCTTTGTGTAAGGATGAAATTAAGAATGGGAAATAATCAGTTATGTTGCTGTGATTGCCCCAGAAATTTTAATATGTTACATTAAGGTGAAAATATTAAACATGTGAAAGATTTGAATATTTATTTTGTTTTTTACTTTGAGATTGTATGGGTGTTTGTAGTAGTTTTACAAACAGGACATTCATATGGTTTGGGGCCCTGTTATTCCTAATTATGAATTTCTCTGGTGGAGTTCATAGTGCTCTTTGCCTCTTAATTAATTATCAGATTCAAACTTTGTGTCTTTTTTTTTAAACTTCATACCAGGATATGGTTATACAAGCTCTTCAGAAAACTAACAACAGAAGTATAGAGGCAGCAATTGAATTCATTAGTAAAATGAGTTACCAAGATCCTCGCCGGGAACAGATGGCTGCAGCAGCTGCCAGACCTCTCAATGCCAGCTTGAAACCAGGTGATTAATCAGACATTTTTTTTTCTCATTTCTTAATAGTATTATTTTAGAATCATTTCAGTGTATCAACTCTCGGGGCACCTGGGTGGCTCATTTGGTTGATTGTCCAGCTTTGGCTCAGGTCATGATCTTGCAGTTGGTGAGCTCAACCCCACATCAGGCTTGCTGCTGTCAGTGCAGAGCCCACTTCACATCCTCTATCCCCCTCTCTCACTGCCCCTCCCCAGATTGTTAGCATATTACATAGGAAGAGAAACAACCATTTTGCTTTAATGAGAACAAACAGGCTTAGGTGATGTAGGGAAGATAAGGAGTTCCTTTCTGATGCCTTCAGCTTTCTCTGAAGTGTAAAATCAGGTCATTTGTCTGGAGTGGTGTGTGAGGAATGGGACAGGTGATTTGAGGAGACTCAGAACAGGGGAGAGTTGTAGTGGAGACCAAAAGAATCAGTAGAATTTCCTGACGGTGCTAAAGCCATTTGATGATGCTGATCGTTGAATTTATAGTGGAATCAATCTGCACTTTACTCCACCTTTTCTGGCAGGTGTGAGAAAAAAGTGGGTAACTGGAATCATCTGTGAGTAGAGTTCTAAACAGGTACAGATAAGATCGATAAAGGGAGTTCAGAATGTTGATAAAAGTGTAATTTATAATTTAAATTCTTAATCAGAGCATATTCCTCCTCTACCTTTAGTGGCTTTTCATTCCTTCCAGACACCTCTTGATGGCCTTGATGTTCTCAGACTTTATCCAGTACCCCACTTCCCTTCATTTGCTTCTCTCCAGTCATACTGGGTTTCTTTTTGTTCTTGGAAAATACCAAGCTCCCAGTTTAGGACTTTTGCCTACTCTTAATTCATCTGCTTGGTGGAGCCTTTTCTGTTCTGAATGTCATCCCTTTCTGTCCTGTTACTCTCTATCATTTGACACCATTTATGGTTCCTTCATTGGATTTATCAATACACAGATATTACCTTGTTCATTTATTTTTTGTTTATTTATTTATTTTGAGAGAGACAGAGACAGTGTGAGTGGGGAAGGGGCAGAGGGAGACACTGCCAGCTCAGAGCCTGATGTAGGGCTTGAACTCACAAAACTGTGAGATCATGACCTGAGCTGAAACCAAGAGTCAGAAGCTTAACTGACTCAGCCACCCAGGCACCCCTACTTTGTTTATTTATTTGTTTGTTATCATTGTCAGTCTTCTCCCCCAAGAATGGAAGTTCCATGGGGCCAGGGATATTATTTGTTCACCACTGTTCTTAGATTAATTAGATGCTCAATAAAAATTTAATGAATGAATAGAAATGAGAAAAGGGAATACAGAGGAAAGTAAGAAGTAGTGGGCCATGGATTTAAATTAGATAAAGTGGGGGTGCCTGGGTGGCTCATTCAGTTAAGTGTCCAACTTTGGCTTAGGTTATGATCTCATAGTTCATAGGTTCGAGCCCTGGATAGGGCTCTCTGATGTCAGCACAGAGCCCACTTCAGATCCTGTCTTTCAACTCTCACATGCACAAAAATAAATAAACTTAAAAAAATAATAAAAACAAAATAGCTAAAGTGTAGCACAAAGAAAGCAGACGATTAATGAAGTAGGGATTAATATGGAGGTCTTAATGGGGTTGAAGAATGCTTGTAGTAGTAGTTAAATAGGAAAGGAGAGTTGTGGTCCAAGAGTATAAACCTCAAAGAAGTGATTTTAAAAAAAGCAGATATGGATGATATCAAAATTAGAAATGTTATCTTAGGAATGATAGTTGAGGTAGAGTCGAGGGGAGGAGACCAAGGAACTGAGAGGTGAGGGTGATGGATGGTCCGTCCTTGTGGATGCTGAAGTTACAGAATGATGGCAGGGCTTAGGGTAGACCAGGTGTCAAAACTATGGGTGAATGAGGATGAACAAGTAGGAGTTCGTTAAGTGAGAGGAGTGAACGTGGCCGCCCAGATAGCATGAGCGTCCAAAGAGTGTGAAGGAATAATAAGAGGTAGAATCCCATCTTTAGCTCAGTTCATTTTTTAAAGAAAACCTGTGAATTGCAAAGGACCGAAAAGAAAGTAATGTCAGCAGAAGATAACCAACTTTAAGGAGGTGGTGGGAAAGCTTGGGGCAGAGGTTATGATATAGGAGCATTTGTTGGAGGGCAATAGTGGGAGGGTTTGGGAAGTGGGAGAACACAGAGAGCTTTATGGGAGGTGCAGAACAGAGATGGCAGTGTACTTGAAGGTTGCGGAGACTTCCGATTTAACTGGTAAAAGCCGGGAGAGTGAATATATGTTGTCTTTAGCCTCAGCTGACTCTCTGAGGAAGGTGTGACTGAGCTTGGAGGCCAGAGGACTTGCCTAGGTTGCCCAGAGTGATGATTTTCCTCAAGTCATAGACCCAGTATGCTGCCCAGTCTAGCTGAAATAGACTGTTACACTATACATTTTTTTTAATGTTTATTTTGAGAAAGAGAGAGAGTGGGGGAGGGGAAAAGAGAGAGGGAGAGAGAGAATCACAAACAGGCTCCTTGCTGTCAGTATGGAACCTGATGTGGGGTTTGATCCCACGAACTGTGAGATCATGACCTGAGCCCAAATCCAGAGCCAGAGGCTTAACCCACTGAGCCACCAGGTGCCCCTAAACTGTACATTCTGAACATTTACCTTTTTTTTCTCATATGTGTTATTAAATACATTTTCTCCTTGGGGCGCCTGGGTGGTGTAGTCGGTTAAGCGTCCGACTTCAGCCAGGTCACGATCTCGCGGTCCGTGAGTTCGAGCCCCGCGTCAGGCTCTGGGCTGATGGCTCAGAGCCTGGAGCCTGTTTCCGATTCTGTCTCCCTCTCTCTCTGCCCCTCCCCCGTTCATGCTCTGTCTCTCTCTGTCCCAAAAAAAATAAATAAACGTTGAAAAAATATATATATATTTTCTCCCAAGATGATATTGACCTTTCAGATTTGTAGATGTTTCTTATTTTGTTTTGAATGTTGTTAAATGTTTTATGTTAAATGTTATATTTAGATCTGTCAGTCTTTACTGTATGTTCTCTATCCTTGTCCTACCTGGGAAGACCTTCCCAAGAGGTACAAAAGAGGTACCCCAATATTACTGGATGTTCACTTGTTTTTTTCTTAGTGCTTGTATGGTTTCATCTTTACACTGAAATACTTAATCTTTCTGTAATGTATTATTTCTATATATTGAATTTTATACAAATGTATTTTATATATTTTTAAATGTATTAAAGATCTTTTCCAAGTATCCAGACTATTTTAAAAACTTCATTTGGGGGCCGGGTATGAGTATCATATATTTTCTTGCCTATTTCATTTATTTGGAAATTTTAGTTAAAGAGAAACTCTGTAAAATCTATATTTAGTGTTCAGCTAGTTACCCCCTGGTGTCTTAGAAATATATTTAAAAGTAGTTGTATCTATTAAAATTTTAAATGGACAAAACTTTGGCTCAATAATGCCACTTCTGATAATTTATCTACCTAACATATATATGAAATGATATCTGCACAAAATTTTTCGATGCCCTTTTTTTTTTTTTTTTTTTTTTTTTTTTTTTTTTTTTTTTTTTGGTATAGCAAAAGACTAGAAACAACCTTAATATTCTTCAGTAGGAAAACTGATTAAATAAATTTGGGTATATCCATACAGTGAAACACTGTGGTGACATTTTTTAAAAGTAAGAAAATATTTTATATACAGAATCTTCAACATTTTAAGAAGAAGAGTAGGCATAATAATATAAATAGGAAGTATGCTATTTACTTGTGTATCCCTAAAATATCTTACTAATGATAATGGTTACCTTCAAGAAAGGAAGCTGGTTGGCTAAGGGACAGACGTGGGTATTCTTTTGTACTTCTAGAATTTTTAGCCATGAAAATGTATTACCTAGTCAAAATAAGTAAAATTTGAAAGGTAAAATAATACTACTGTACTAAACTTTGATTTTTATAATTCTTGAAAGAGAGTTACCATTTAGCTGTGTCAGAATTCCAAACTTAATTTTTTAAAAATAAGATGTTAAAAACCTGCTTTTTTTTTTCTCTCTGTTTTATGACCATAGGGAGTGTGCAACAACCAGTTAACCGCAAACAAAGCTGGAAAGGTTCCAAAGAATCCTTAGTTCCTCAGAGACATGGCCCACCACTAGGAGAAAGCGTGGCCTATCGTTCCGAAAGTCCCAACTCGCAGACAGATGTAGGAAGACCTTTGTCAGGATCTGGTATAACAGCATTTGCTCAAGCCCACCCAAGCAACGGACAGAGGGTGAACCCCCCACCACCTCCTCAAGTAAGGAGTGTCACTCCTCCCCCACCTCCTAGAGGCCAGACTCCCCCTCCAAGAGGTACAACTCCACCTCCTCCCTCGTGGGAACCAAACTCTCAAACAAAGCGCTATTCCGGAAACATGGAATATGTAATCTCCCGAATCTCTCCAGTTCCACCTGGAGCCTGGCAGGAGGGCTATCCTCCACCGCCTCTGAACACGTCCCCAATGAATCCTCCTAATCAGGGACAGAGAGGCATTAGTTCTGTTCCTGTTGGCAGACAACCTATCATCATGCAGAGTTCCAACAAATTTAACTTTCCACCAGGAAGACCTGGAATTCAGAATGGTAGCAGTCAAACTGATTTTATGATACACCAAAATGTCCCTGCTGGCACTGTGAATCGGCAGCCGCCCCCTCCGTATCCTCTGACCCCAACTAATGGACAGAGCTCTTCTGCTTTACAAACAGGGGGATCTGCTGCCTCTTCATCATATACAAATGGAAATATTCCCCAATCTATGATGGTGCCAAACAGAAACAGTCATAACATGGAACTTTATAACATTAATGCACCTGGACTGCAAACAACGTGGCCTCAGTCATCTTCTGCTCCAGCCCAGTCATCCCCAAGCAGTGGGCATGAAATCCCCACATGGCAACCTAACATACCAGTGAGGTCAAATTCCTTTAATAACCCGTTAGGAAATAGAACAAGTCATTCTGCTAATTCTCAGCCCTCAGCTACAACAGTCACTGCAATTACACCAGCTCCTATTCAACAGCCTGTGAAAAGTATACGTGTATTAAAACCAGAGCTACAGACTGCGTTAGCACCTACACACCCTTCTTGGATACCCCAGCCAATTCAAACGGTTCAACCTAGTCCTTTTTCTGAGGGTACCACTTCAAATATGACTGTTATGCCTCCTGTTGCTGAGGCTCCAAATTATCAAGGCCCACCTCCACCTTACCCAAAACATCTGCTACACCAAAACCCATCTGTTCCCCCATATGAATCAATCAGTAAATCTAGCAAAGAGGATCAGCCCAGCTTGCCCAAGGAAGATGAGAGTGAAAAAAGTTACGAAAATATGGATGGTGGGGATAAAGAAAAGAAACAGATTACAACTTCACCCATCACTGTTAGGAAAAACAAGAAAGATGAAGAGCGAAGGGAATCTCGTATTCAAAGTTACTCTCCTCAGGCGTTTAAATTCTTTATGGAGCAACATGTAGAAAATGTACTCAAATCTCATCAGCAACGGCTACATCGGAAAAAACAGTTAGAGAATGAAATGATGCGGGTAAAACCTTTTAAAATGCAGATTTTTATACTTGATCATCTGTTTGCTTAGTGTTTATTTTTAAATATCGGTCCAGTGTTTTTTCCTTCTTTTTATAGCTAAGTACATTATCAATTATTTAAAGTCAGTAAACGTTAACGTACTTTTGATTATACCATTTTATTTTAGTATTTCAAAATTTACTCCATTTCCTGTAATAAAGTTCTAATAAATTAAGAAAAATATACTTTATGGAGTGCTATTTAGGTGTACATAATCCCTTTTTATGGAAATAGCAAAGGTTCTTTTCTTTTCTTTCTTTCTTTTTTTTTTTTTTTTTTTTTTTTTTTTTTTTTTTTTACTTATAGTAGTTTTGGGACCTTATTCGTCAGGTTTATTCATTTGGTTGGTCTTATTAAAAAGTATCAAAGACTTATCTCTTCAGTTATTTCCTCATCTAATTTCATTTTTTTTTATAATGTACTAGAAAAATATGCTGAAATTATTAAACCACTAAAAGGGAGATCAAGAATAAGTGCTCACTCATTTTAAATTAGTCTGTTGTGATTGTATGTACATATCTTCACTGGATATTATGGTGATACTATCATTGTTACTATTTTTGTCACATTTTACAGTTCAAACAAATTTAACTTTCACTCAGAATCCAAGAGGCTTAAATTTGTGATGAAACTTCCTCACATAATTTGAGGGCCATTCTTTTAAATTTAATTTTTTTTAATGTTTTATTTATTTTTGAGAGAGAGACAGAGTGCGAGTAGGGAAGGGGCAGAGAGAGAGGGAGACACAGAATCCCAAGCAGGCTCCAGGCTCTGAGCTGTTAGCACAGAGCCTGACTCCCGCGCTCAAACCCACGAACCATGAGATCATGACCTGAGCCAGTCAGACGCTTAACCAACTGAGCCACCCAGGCGTCACGAGAGCCATTCTTTTAAAATGATTTGTCTAAATCTGATTTCACAGTATTGTTATTCCTGCTATAAATTGAATTTTCTTAGATGAGAAACACCATGATAATCTGTATGACCCATCCATATTTTAGCTCTTAGGATTTCTTACTAAAGTCTGTCTGTATGTATTTTCTTAGTTTATTTTTCCTTTTTCCTCTTCACTTTCACTAATAGCTGATTTAAACTTTTATGGTGTTGGAAGCTTTGCTGACTTCTGTAGCCTCCATTACTGTGTAGGCAAGTAAGATTTTAAGAGAAACAGTTCTACACTAAGTCTGGCATGCCACCCTTCTTAAAAGATACTGCATGCAAATGTGCACACCCTAACAGAAGCATGAGGTTGCTATATTCTAATTAGGCTTGCATTTCTAGAATCAGACTCTACTTCTTACATTCCTATTCTATTTTAACCCTTAAATTAGTTTCTTATTAAACTAGCCAAAAATAAACTTCCTTCTAAATCCAGGTAGTCCATGTCTACTCAGAAGTTGGCTTTTGTTTTTAATCTGTTTTTTGGTGTCTTCATAAGTCACATTGACTATTCTTTGAAATGTTCCAAAATACCGAAAGGATACCTTGTAATCAAACAAGTTGTCCTTTTTAAATGCGGTAGGAGAAACCTTTTGCATTTTGTGTTAGTGGTGGCTGTGCACCCTATCTACCCTTCCTCTAGTGCCTGAGAAAAATAAAAGAAAGATGGGCTGTGAATGAGTGGTTAAGTTAGAGAAGACATTCTTTTGTTCTTAATACATCAGTTTTTTAGAATAAATGAATCTGGAGGGAAGAATTTCTTTTCATGAAAGAAAAGAGGAAGAATATTTTAATTGTAGGTATTCCACAAGAGAAGCATATATAATAAAGGTAGTCTGATCACAGAATTTGGGGTGAATATGCATGGGGAGATGGATGAGGATGCATGTTAACAGATGTTTGGTTGTTGCACATTGGGAACTTTGTTGGGGTGCATTAGAAAACAGTAGGAAGCTGACCGTTGGTATCATCTTGCTCTCCACGGCAGAATCTGCATAAAAACTCACCTTTGTATATCCTGTTAACTATCCCTTAAGCTGCACTTGTGTTAATTAATTTTCTCTGAAGTATATTCTAGATTTCTAACATGCTTCGTTAAAAATTATTATGCATTTAACCTTTAAATATATGCCTGAATTTTTCCAAACTATTTTTTAATATTTGGTATAGAAGCTAATTCCTCATTTAACCTTTAGTTTATTTGCCTAGGTTGGACTATCTCAAGATGCCCAGGATCAAATGAGAAAGATGCTTTGCCAAAAGGAGTCTAATTATATCCGTCTTAAGAGGGCTAAAATGGACAAGTCTATGTTTGTGAAGATAAAGACACTAGGAATAGGAGCATTTGGTGAAGTCTGTCTAGCAAGAAAAGTAGATACTAAGGCTTTGTACGCAACAAAAACTCTTCGAAAGAAAGATGTTCTGCTTCGAAATCAAGTCGCTCATGTTAAAGCTGAGAGAGATATCCTGGCCGAAGCTGACAATGAATGGGTAGTTCGTCTATATTATTCATTCCAAGATAAGGACAATTTATACTTTGTAATGGACTATATTCCTGGGGGTGATATGATGAGCCTATTAATTAGAATGGGCATCTTTCCAGAAAATCTGGCACGATTCTACATAGCAGAACTTACCTGTGCCGTTGAAAGTGTTCATAAAATGGGTTTTATTCATAGAGATATTAAACCTGATAATATTTTGATTGATCGTGATGGTCATATTAAATTGACTGACTTCGGCCTCTGCACTGGCTTCAGATGGACACATGATTCTAAGTACTATCAGAGTGGTGAGTAAAACCATAAAATTTGTACATATTAATATGACTTGTAAATGTAATAAGATATAAGGTATTCTCACTGGATGGAAGCCATAAGTCCTGGTTTCAGTCTTGACTATTGGATAAATGTGAGTGAATCCTTTAGACACCAAGACTTATAAAATGAAAGAATGTGTTAGATTATTTCTAAATATCATTATTTAGAAATAAATAATGAGAAAAATCCCAAGCAGGTTCCATGCTCAGTGGGACCTCACAATTGAGCTGAAATCAAGAGTCAGACACTTAACCAACTGAGCCACCCGGGCGTCCCCCAAAATTTTTAAATGAAGCCCCATACCCACCATTCAGCTTAAAAACTAGATTGTCAGTGCTTCTGAAGCCCTTAAAGGATTGCTTCCCCTTTTTCTTCCACAGAAGTAACCATTATTTCAGAACTTCGTAATCACAGTTCTTTACTTTTCTCTATACTTTTCCCAATGTTTATAACCCTAAACAATGTTATTTTATTTTGCCTACTCTTGAACTTTATTTCAATGTAATCATTCTATATGTATTCTTCTATGTTCACTTCTTTTATGTATTTGAGGTTGATCTGTGTTATTGCATATGACATGTATTTTCACTACTATTTAGGATTCCGTGGTATGACTATTATACAACTTATTTAACCTTAAACACTCTATGTACATGATTTTGTTCAATCTCACATCACTGTGAGGCAGGATAAAGAAACTGAGGCTTAGTTAGATGAAGCAATTTGCCCAAGGTCAGACAGAAAAGAAGTGTAGGGGGCTAGGCTTTGAACCCAGGTTTGTTTGATTACAGGGCCCATGTTATTTCTACTACACCACACTGCTCACCAAGATCCCTTCAAAGCGCTAATGGAAGTGTAAGTCAATCTAATAATTCTTGAATACTTATTATGACCAGGTTCTTTACATATATTCTAATTTAAGGGTCGCAGCAATCTTCTCAGGTAAGTATTAGCCTCCTGTGTTTCTGTGAAGCCAAGTAGATTGACAGTAAGTGGATAGAACTGAGACACTTGAACCTGTCTCCTCAGAGTCACCCTAAATATTTGGGGTTCTTCTTAAGGGGCGCCTGGGTGGCACAGTCGGTTGAGCGTCCGACTTCAGCCAGGTCACGATCTCGCGGTCCGTGAGTTCGAGCCCCGCGTCAGGCTCTGGGCTGATGGCTCAGAGCCTGGAGCCTGTTTCCGATTCTGTGTCTCCCTCTCTCTCTGCCCCTCCCCCGTTCATGCTCTGTCTCTCTCTGTCCGAAAAATAAATAAATCTTGAAAAAAAAAAAAAATTAAAAAAAAAAATATGATTCGTGGGCTCTATTCCAGTCTTCTGATTTAAAATCTTCACTGGAGGGGAGAAATTGTACTTTATTTTTTTAAAGTTTGCTTTTTATTTTTTTACTTTTTTGAGTAGGCTCCACGCCCAGTGTGGGGCTTGAATTCGTGACCCTGAGATCAAGAGTTGTATGCTCTACTGACTGAGCCAGTCAGGCACCCTGCCTAGATGATTATTACAGTCAGTTTAAATATGAGCTGTATTTTTCTAGGTGATTTCATCCAGTCATGGCTTTAAATGCCATTTCATTCCAGTGACTTCGAAATCTCTCTCTCTAGAAATTGCCCCTCCCGTTCACGTGTGTAGTCTAATAGGCCTTTTAAACTTCACATTGCCAATAACCAACTCTCAATTTCTCCCCCTCCAGTCTTCCCCATGTTAGTAAATTGCACTACCACCACCCACTTAGTTATCCTTGATTCTTTCTTCCCCCGTGCCATCTACATCTAATCCATCAATAAATCCTGTTTATTCCACCTCTAAAAATACCCTTGACCTGTTCACTTTTCTACATCTCCACTGTTACTGTCAGGGTAGCCTCTGAACTGGTCACTCCTCACACTTGTCCTCCCTACAGTTGGTGCTCTACATGGCAGTTAGTGTTTTCTTTTTGAAACATAAATCAGATCTTGTCGTTCTCTTCAAACTCTCTGGTATCTTCCCACTGCATTTGCAGTAAAAGGCAAACCACTTCTTTTGCTTATTAAATCCAGGTGCACCAGCTCCCATTCCTATTGTCCACCATTCTCTCCTAATTTACCAGCCCCACTGGTCTTCTCTCTTGTTACTGTTGTTTCTCTGTGGAATGTCTTGCCCTGGTTTTCAAATGGTTGAGTCCCTCTGGTTTTTACAAATGTCACCTCAGTTCGTCTTCCTGAGCCACCCTAGTGGCTATATATATATATCGATATATCTATCTATCTATCTATCTATCTATCTATCTATATGTATCTGTTTGTTGTGTTTGTCCAATACAGAGAAGCTACCCGAAAGAAGATCCCTGTCTTATTTGTCGTTGTCATTTATTGAGTGAACAAACACTGATCTCATTTGTTTGAAACTTTGTTCAGAATAGTAAGGGGAAGCAGTCTGCATAACAAATTCCTGATCCTACGAACTCATGACTTTGATTATCATCATTTAGCATTGAGTAAATTACTGAAACTTACACTAATTTTTCTTAGAGTAACACTTGTCCTATTAGTATCTTGGAGCACAGGCTGTAGTTAGTAATAAACACCATCAGTGATATGGCATACATTGTGTCTTATGTTGTCTCAAGGGAAGAGTACTGTTAACTCTAAACCATGATGTCAAAAGATTAAAGTCTTTAGGCTCACTCTTGTTCTTGTTGCTTTTATTTATTTATTTATTTATTTATTATTTATGTACTTACTACATAGGTGACCATCCACGGCAAGATAGTATGGATTTCAGTAATGAATGGGGTGACCCTTCTAACTGTCGATGTGGAGATAGATTGAAGCCATTGGAGCGGAGAGCTGCACGCCAACACCAGCGGTGTCTTGCACATTCGTTGGTTGGGACACCCAATTATATTGCACCTGAAGTGTTGTTACGAACAGGTAAAAACATTAGTTTTGTGATAATCTCAGTAGGCCTTTAGACCAGCTGAAATTTACATTAATTAACATGTGGCTTATTTTTCAGGTTTATAATAAAAATATTAATTATACAGCATTTTGGTGATTTAATATTTTGATTGTATTCTGAGCACTTTTTCTGAATAACTATAACTTTGGTATCTTATTTTAGGCTATACACAGTTATGTGATTGGTGGAGTGTTGGTGTAATTCTTTTTGAAATGTTGGTGGGTCAACCTCCTTTCTTGGCACAAACACCATTAGAAACACAAATGAAGGTAAGAGATAGCATCTATACCAAAGACTTGTCAGAGTCCCTGTATCATAGACTTTTAGCAATCCTTTATTTAGAACATCTTATTCTGGAATTTAAGAATGAATTTGTAAGGTGGGGCACGTGGGTGCTTAGTTGGTTGAGCATCTGACTCTTGATTTTGGCCCAGGTCATGATCCCAGGGTCATGAGATCGAGCCCTGCATCAGGCTCCGCACTGAGCATGGAGCTTGCTTGAGATTCTCTCTCTCCCCTTCCCTCTCTCTTTCTCAAACAACAACAACAAAACCTGATTAAAAAAAAAAAAAAAAAAAAAAAAGAATGAACTAGTAAGGAGGCGCCTGGCTGGCTCAGTCAGTAGAGTGACTCTTGATCTTGGGGTCATGAGTTCGAGCCCCACCTTGGGGGTAGAGTTTACTTTAAAAAAAAAAAAAAAAAGAATGAATTGGTAAGGTTAGAGGAAGTCACTGAAATTCCAGGAGTGAACTCTAGTGTCCGTCAGCCAACTGTCATCACACTGTTAGATCCTCTGTCACTCATGTGCTTATATACTCATTCCATTTTCGTGGAAGTCTTTAGTACTATGTGCAGATTTATTCTAATTTACTTTTTGTCACCTTCTGGCTCCTGGCTTTGTTTCCTTCCATGCATAGTCTACCCTCAAACAACAAACAAATATCTGTATCTCCACTTGAAATTACCTCTGGCACTTAAATGAGAAGCTGCCCACAATTTTGGTCATAAACAGTCCCATTAAAAACCCTTCAGTGGTTCCCATGTCCATGGATTAAAGTCCAAATTTATACTCCCTTCCCTGTTCATACCATTCTCTCTGTCTGGAATGTTCTTCTTTCTTTCTTTCCCATCTTCCACAACTCTCCCTACTTTCTTAAACCTGCTTAACTCCTGAACTAACTCATTCTTAATCATTCTTAAGATATCTCTTCTATGATGTTCTCCCTGAGTTGTAACTACTTCTTTTGTTGCATTTAATATATTTAAAACTTCTTGGGGTGCCTGGGTGGCTCAGTCAGTTAAGCATCCGACTTGAGCTCAGGTCATGATCTCGTGGTTTGTGAGTTTGAGCCCCAGGTCAGGCTCTGTGCTGACAGCTCATATTCTGTGTTTCTGTCTCTCTCTGCCCCTCCCCTGCTTACTCTCTTTCTCTGTTTCTCTCTTTCTCTCAAATATAAATAAACATTAAAGGGCGCCTGGGTGGCTCAGTCGGTTGGGCGGCTGACTTCGGCTCAGGTCAAGATCTCACGGTCCGTGAGTTCGAGCCCCGCGTCGGGCTCTGTGCTGACAGCTCGGAGCCTGGAGCCTGTTTCAGATTCTGTGTCTCCCTCTCTCTGACCCTCCCCCATTCATGCTCTGTCTCTCTCTGTCTCAAAAATAAATGAACGTTAAACATTAAAAAAATTTTTTTAATATATTTAAAACTTCCTTTAAAATTTCTTTTAAGTATAGGTGTGTTGATAATGCATTCTCTTAGGTTTGATTCAAATTAGTTTGTCTGAAAGTGTCTTTATTTCCTCTTCATTTTAATATATATGTATATGAAAGTATATGCATATATATATATAAATGTGTGTGCGCACGCGTGCAGGCGTGTGTGAAAAACTGAATGCTTTCTCCTCAAAATCAAGAACATAGCAAAGATGTGTGTTTTTACCAGTCTTATTAGACATAGAAATCTTAGCCAGGGTAATACAACAACAAAAGAAATAAAAGGCATACAGATTAGAAAGAAATAAAAACTTAGCCTATTCAGAGATGACAACATAACTTTCTATATAGAAAATCCAGGGAATTTATGAAAAAACTCATAGAAATAATAAGTGAGTTTAGCAAGGTTGTAGACTTACAAGGGTAATACATAAAAATCTATTGTATTTTTATATTTAAGCAATAAATGACCAGAAACTGAAATTTAAAAGCAGTCCCATTCAGGGGTGCCTGGGTGGCTTGGTCAGTTAAGCATCTGACTTCCGCTGAAGTCATGATCTCATTGTTCATGGATTTGAGCCCTGTGTCGGGCTCTGTGCTGACAGTTCAGAGCCTGGAGCCTACTTCAGATTCTGTATCTCTCCCTCTCTCTCTGCCCCTTCCCTGCTTGTGCTTGCTCTCATTCTCCCCACCTCTCTCAAAAATAAATAAACATTAAAAAAATAAAAGCAGTACCATTCATAGAAGTTTCCTCCAATTGAAATATACAGGGGGGTGGTGCCTGGGTGGCTCAGTCAGTTAAGCGTCTGACTTCGGCTCAGGTCACGATTTCATGACTTGTAAGTTCAAGCCCCACATTGGGGCTCTGTGCTTACAGCTTGGATCCTGGAGCTTGCTTGGGATTCTGTCTCTGTCTCTCTGCCCTTCCTCTACTCATACACTGTCTATCTCTCTCAAATATAAATAAACATTAAAAAAAAGAAATATGCAGGCATAAATCTAATAAAACATGAAGATCTCTATGCCGAAAGCTACAAACTCTGATGAAAGAAATCAAGAAAGATCTTCATAAATGGAGACATGTACCATATCCCATGTCGATAGATTGGAGGACTCAACATAGCAAAGCTATCACTTATCTCCAAATTAATCTATAGATTTGATTCCATCCTAATTTTTGTAGGTACAGATGAGCCAATTCTAAAATGTATATGGATAGGGCGCCTGGTTGGCTCAGTTGGTTAAGCATCTGTCTCTTGGTTTCGGCTCAGGTCATGATCTCATGGTTTGTGAGTTCGAGCACTGCATTGGCCTCTGCACTGGTGGTATGGAGCCTGCTTGGGATTTTCTGTCTCCCTCTCTCTACCACTCCCCTGTTTGCTCGCATGCACATGTGTGCACGCTCTCACTATAAACAAACAAACAAACATTTAAAAGTAAATAAGTAAAATGTATATGGGTGAACAGAGGAACTAGAATAATGAAAACAATGTTTTAAAAGAAGAACAGAGTTAGAGGAATCAACCACTTTTAAGAATTACTATGAAGTTACAGTAATCTAGACGGGGTGATATTGGCAAAAGGACACAAACATAGATCAATGGAACAAGATACAGAATAGAGAAATAGAACCACACAAATATGTCCATTTGATCTTTGACAAAGGTGCAAATGGAGAAAGAATAGTATTTCAACAAATGTAGGATAATTGGTCGGCCATATTCAGAAAGTACTGAAACTTAATGTAAACTTCATCCCTACACAAAGATTAACTCAAAATGGTTCATCGATCCAGAGATAAAATATAAATACTATACTACTATAATACTTTTATAATACTATAAAATCTTTATGGCCTAGGGTTAGGGGAAGAGTTCTTAGAAATGATACCAAAATCATGATCTATAAAAGAAAAAGTTGAGAAACTGGAATTCATCAAAACTTAACACTTTCAGTATACAAAAGACACAGTTAAGACAATGAAGACAAGATTCAGCTTGGGGGGAGACATTTGCAGACACATTTCCCACAAAGGCCTTGTATCTAGACCATAAAAAGAACTTTTGAAACTCAATAGTAAAAAATATTTCTTGATTACCTACTACATTTCTTCCGTTCTTCCCTCTCTTCCCTTCCTCCCTCCCTCTCTCCCTCATTCTGGTTTATTCAAAGTCAGAATAAATATTTATTGAACGTCTATTAACGATGTGCCAGGCAACTTGCCAAGCACTAAGAAATACAAAGACAAAACATGATCTATAGCCTTATGGAATTTTATCTGTGGTAGAAGGACATAGACAGAACAGGTCCCACGAAGTCTGTACTATGATACCAGTAAACACATGGAACGGGACAGCGCAATGGAAATTGTCATTTCTGCCATAGGTAGAAGAGCTTAACAGGGGAGCTAAAACTTACAGTGAGTCTTAAAGTATGAGTATAAGTTGCCTGGGGGGGAGGGAATGGGAGGAAAGGTTATTTCCCATCAGCGATTCATTCATTATTAAAGGTAAGGAAGGCAGAATACTGTGCAATTTATTTTTAAAGATAAAAATAGGTAAGACTTTGGTATAAAACTTGGAGGACATTTTTTTCTTATTTACCTCTTCCCTCCTAATTTCTAAAAAATCCTCTTTAAAGGTTATCAACTGGCAAACATCTCTTCACATTCCACCTCAAGCTAAACTGAGTCCTGAAGCCTCTGATCTTATTATTAAACTTTGCCGAGGACCAGAAGATCGCTTAGGCAAGAATGGAGCTGATGAAATAAAAGCTCATCCATTTTTTAAAACAATTGATTTCTCCAGTGACCTGAGACAGCAATCTGCTTCATACATTCCTAAAATCACACACCCAACAGATACATCAAATTTTGATCCTGTTGATCCTGATAAGTTATGGAGTGATGATAATGAGGAAGAAAATGTAAACGACACTCTCAATGGATGGTATAAAAATGGAAAGCACCCTGAACATGCTTTCTATGAATTTACCTTTCGGAGGTTTTTTGATGACAATGGCTACCCATATAATTATCCAAAGCCTATTGAATATGAATATATTAATTCACAAGGCTCAGAGCAACAGTCAGATGAAGATGATCAACACACAGGCTCAGAGATCAAAAATCGTGATCTAGTGTATGTTTAACACACTAGGAAATGTAATGAGGATTTGCAAAAAGACCTGAAACGCAGAGTTTTTTGAGGCTCCGAGAGTAAAATTATGCAAATGTGACAGAGCTATGTATGAGTGCTCTGTGTACAATATTTTATGTTCCTAAATTATGGAAAATCTTTTTTAAATGTTAATTTATTCCAGCCTTTTTAATCAGTAATTTAGAAAAAAAAATTGTTATAAAGAAAATAAATTATGAACTGAATATTATAGTCAGTTCTTGGTACTTAAAGTACTTAAAAATAAAAAAAAATAGTGCTTTGTTTAAAGGAGAAACCTGGTATCTATTTGTACATACACTAAATAATTTTAAAAGACAAGAATATTTGAAATTTTTTTGAAAGACAGTTTTAGTTTTATCTTGCTTTAACCAAATATGAAATGTACCCCACATTTACAGTTTTTTTTTTTTTTTACCCGATATCCTGGTTTTTGGTACAAAATAAGCTATAGAAATTAAGCCATTATGGTGATGAGTATTCTTAGGCTAATCTGATAATTTACATCTTGTAATTAAGAAATACAGGGTTGAAACAGTATGCTCATCAGAAGAAAAAACACTGCATTTTCTCTTTCTTATTTTTCCCCTCTGTGGAATATTTACTCTTCTAGCATTTATTTCTCAAGAATTACTGACTTTAAAAGAAGCAAAGCACTACCATTTTTCTTTCTATACTGGTATTTTTAATGCTGCTTCTAGTTTTAAAAGGGAAAAAAGATGCCATAAGTCAAAATTTACAATACCGGATGCTAAGATCTTTCATATTTTTACTTCGAATTTTTTTTTTAAGTTTCTACCATCCTAAGCAGAAAGATTATTTTCAGTTTCATAAGAAACTTTAAGTAGAAAAATTATTTGTGGGTATTCACTAGAAAAGTACTTTTTCTGCATAGTGACAGTTTTGATTATGTCATCAGTAATGTTACATGTTTCCTCTTTCAGAACAGTGCTGTATATACAAGTTGTTATTGGCAAAGGAAATCTGGCTATTTGGCAGTATTTTACCTATGGGCAGAAAAAATTATTTAACTCTTAAGGTGTCTGTTAGTAATTAGAAAAAGTTATATAGTGGTCTTAGTAGAAAATTCAAATCCTCCTGACTTAATTTAAGGTTAAATAATACGTTTTTCAGCATGCCTATTTTATATA